AACAAAGTGTAAGAGTATATTTTATGGATTTGTGAAATATGATGTTGTTATTGAATCTGTAAATCACTTTAGGTAGTATGGATATTTTAACAATGTTGTTTATACCAATCCATGAGCAACATATGTTTTTCCATTTGTTTGGATCATCTGTGATTTCTTTCCTTAAGTGTTTCCTAGTCTCTTCTTTGTAGAGATCTTTTATCTAGCTCCTTGGTCAAGTATATTCTTAGGTATATTATTTTCCTTGTAGCTATTGTGAATGGAATTGAGTCTTTGATTTGACTGTCAGCTTGACTATTACTGGTGTATAGGAATGCTACTGATTTGTGTACCTTGATTTTGTACCCTGAGACTTTGCTGAATTTATTCATCAATTCCAGGGGTCTCTTGGTGGAATCTTTGGGGGGTTCTAGATATAAGATCATATCATCAGCAGAAAGTGATAGCTTGACCTCCTCTTTCCTAATTTGGATACCCTTAATTTCTTTCTCTTGCCTGATTGCTCTGGCTATGTTGAATAGAAGTGGTGACAATGGCACCCTCATCTTGTTCAAGTTCTTCGTGGCAATGCTTTTGGCTTTTCCCTATTCAATATCATGTTGGCTGTGGGTTTGTCATATATGGCTTTTATATAAATTTGAGATATGTTCCTTCTATGCCTAGTTTGTTGAGGTTTTTTTTATCATGGAAGGGTGCTAAATTTTGTTGAATGCTTTTTCTGCATTTATTGAGATGATCACATGATCTTTGTTTTTGCTTCTGTTTATGTGATGGATTACATTTATTGAAGTATGTATGTTGAACCATCCTTGCATGCTTGTGATGAAGCCCACTGGGTTATGGTGAATTACTTTTTGATGTGCTGTTGAATTTTGTTTTCTAGTATTTTATTGAGGATATTCACATCTATATTCATAAGGGATATTGATTTGTAGTTTTCTTTTTTTGTATTGTCCTTTTCTGGCTTTGGTATCAAGGTGATACTGGCTTCATAGAATGACTTAAGAATGATTCCCTCCTTCTTGATGTTATGAAATAATTTCTGCCATATGGGTACTAACCCTTTTTTTAGGTCTGATAAAATTTGTCTGTGAATCCATCTGGTCTGGGGCTTTTTTGTTGTTGTTGTTGTTGGAAGGTTTTTTTATTGTTGCTTCAATCTTGTTGCTAGTTATTGGTCTGTTCAGGAATTCTGTTTCTTCCTGATTGAGTCTTGGGAGGTTGTGTGATTCCAGCAATTTTTTCCATTTCCTCTATGTTTTTGAATTTATGTGCATAGAGATTTTCTTAGTATTCACAGATGATATTTTGCATTTCTTTGTTATCAGTTGAAATATTTCCTTTCTCATTTCTGATTGAGCTTATTTGGGTCCTTTCTCTCCTATCCCTGGTTAATCTTTTAGGAGGTTTATATATTTTGTTTATCTTTTCAAAGAACAAATTTTTGGGTTTTTTGATCTTCTGTATTATTTTCTTGTTTTTGATTTCATTTAATTCTGCTCTGACCTTAGTTATTTCTTTTCTTCTACTGGCTTTGGGTTTGATTTGTTCTTCCTTTTCTAGTTTCTTGAGACATGTCATTAGATTGTGAATTTGTAATCTTTTGTGTTTTTGTTATATGCATTTAAGGTTATGAATTTCCCCCTTAGGACTGCTTTTGCTAAATCCACAAATTTTGATAGCTCATGTCCCCTTTGTCCTTCAATTTGAGGAATCTGTTAATTTTTATTTTAATTTCATCATTGGTCCAATAATCAGCAGGAGATTGTTTCATTTCCATGACTTTCTATAATATTAGGTGTTTCTTTTGGTGTTCATTTCTAGTTTTATTCCACTGTGATTTGAGAAGATACCTGGTATGATTTCATTTTTTTTTCAATTTGTTGAGCCATGATTTGTGGCATAAAATATAATTAATCTTGGAGAATGTTTCATGTGCTGATGAGAAGACTGTATAATCAGCAGTTGAGGGGTAAAATGTTCTATAAATGTCTGTTAGTCCTATTTATTCTAGAGTCCAATTTACATCCAGTGTTTATTTATTTTTTGCTTGGATGATCTGTCTAGGTCTGTCAGTGGGGTGTTGAAGTCCCTAGCCATTAGGATGCTGCTGTTTATCTCTTTGCTTAGATATAGGAGGGTTTGCTTTATGAACATGGTTGCTCCTTTGTTAGATGCATAAATATTTAGGGTTGTTCTATCTTCTTGTTGAGTTGCTTCCTTTACCATTTTATGATGACCATCTTCATCTTTCTTTACTGTTGTTGATTTACAGTCAATTTTATCTGATAAGAAAATGGCTATATCTGCTTTCTTTTGGTTTCCATTTGCACCGAATATTTTCTCTCCATTCCTTCACTTTGAGTATGTATGTGTTGTTGTGGATTAGATGTGTTTGCTGGAAACAGCAGAAACTTGATTTGTATTCTTTTTTATTCGTTCAGCTAACCTATGTCTCTCCAGTGAACAATTCAAACCATTCATGTTGATTGATAGAATTGATATATGGGATGCTGTCCTGTTCATCCTGTTGGGTAGTACCTTATTGCTTTGTTTTTCCTTTTTTACTATTGTTTTGTATGAACCCTGATCTTTAGCTTTTGGATGGCTTTACTCTGGTAGGTGACTATTGTACTGATCCACATATAATGCAGTTTTGAGTATTTCCTGCAGGGCAGGTCTGGTATTGTGACAATACATTCAAGTTTGAGAATGACTGCACTAAAAGAAACACCTATTGTTTCTGCAATTCTAGAAATTAATTTCCCAAATTTTAACACATCTGAAATTTTGATGCCTCTTATAACCCTGTTATATGTTTAATTTGAGGATCCTTTTCTTCTTCACTCCAAATTGCTATCATTAAGTTTATGGTACATCTTATAATCAGTGGTATCTTAGAAAGAAGGAGATGTGCTATATGAAATATAATAACTTACTTACAAACAGTGAAATATAAATAATATATAGGAGATGGTGATAACCCTTCACTGATGTGGCTGATTTGTTGTTTCTTTGTTATTCATGTCTGCATCCTCTTTACACACTGAACTAGCCTCCATGCTATTTGCCTTGGGGTATCTGCCTCTTGTTTTAGGTTACTTGTTTCTACATGCTTTCTCAACATGCTGTCTCTAATCTCTGAGTCTTTAATCAATAGGTTTTTCATAAAGTTTTTTTTTCTTCCAATATGCTCTAAAAATGTTGGCTCTGGTGTTACAGACCTTCAGCCCTAACCTTAAGACGCTGTCTTTTTGTTTTACTGGTTGTTGTCATTTCCTTTGCAGTTTCACTCTGGTGGCAATGATAGGTTTAAAATCCTTTTGGCAAGAGATGCTTTCCAATTCGGACTCATTACTGCAAACAGATCTCCCATTCATATAGTACTTTCTCTCTCTCTCTCTCTCTCTCTCTCTCTCTCTCTCTCTCTCTCTCTCCCCTCTCTCTCCCCTCTCACGTCCTCCCTCACTTTTCCCCTCTATCACTTTCTCCCTCTCTCATTCCTCACTCTCCTCCACACTCACCAACCAAAATCTCAGAAATAGCTCAAAGGTTAACTGTGAAAGATGAAATAAAGGAGAAATTGAAGGTGGATTTTTAAAGTGAGAAATGATGAGAACTATAATAATCATAAGAACCTTGGGAATGTGTAATGCAACTGGGAAAACAGGAAAACATATCTGAGAGATATTTCTGAGGTGCTGTTAGAATTAGTGACTGAGTAAATTTGTAATTGTTTCTCTATATTTGCTTGTTTTGCTTTTTAAAATTTTTGCCATCATCCCCACTATAATCAAAGCTTCATGGGCCTGGGTTCACTATTATATCCCCACTGCCTAGCTCAGTTTCTTGTACAAAGTAGGTATTTATTAAATATTTTCCAATAACTAAATTATTCAATGTGTGGGAAGATTAGTAAAGGAGAATAAAGTGTCAGATATGTAATTTTTAACATGACTCTAAATTCTCATCCATATATCCAGTGACCAACCCTAACTAATAATAATCAATGTTCACCTGAGATTTCTTGCTTAAGTATTTATTTTAAAAATCCTAGGGCTTTTAGTTCATGACAACTTCAACATTAGTCAGTAATGTGACACAGTTGCAGAAATGACATTAGGTTATATTTCTAAACATTCCTGTTTAGTTCAAATAAGATAGCGATCTTATTGTGCTTGACTGTTTACTAACTGATATGAACCCCATACTCTGAGAGTGGCACCAACAAATTCATGTATTCCAAAGAGGGCAACCAAAATTGAGGCCATGTAGCTTAAGGAGTGGCTCGATTGCTTCAAAAGGGCTAGACAAGGACAAAAGTGTAGTAGAGATGGTCTGTAGCAGAATTCAAGAGACTGGATATGAGACCCAGTTCTAACTAATTCCATGGCCTTAAGCGAATCGGTTCTCTTTTGGCACCACTTACCTATTCTATGAAGAAAGGGGGGGTCAGTTTTCATTTTCTCTAAGCTTTCTAATTACTCTTTTGAATACAGTCCATAACTATATTCAAGAATTTTAACATTCCAATGTTGTACATGAACATGAGAATTTATCCTCAAATAGGTAAAGAGCTATTTATATATAAAACAATGCAGTTAGTTTTGTTGCACAAGGTAGCATTAGTCCTAACAGGTGGGATTTATAAGAGGGAGATTACAGTTCATTCTGTGGGGTAATTTGTTAACCATTACTTTAGTGCAATATGAAAAGGACTTATTAGGCAAAGCAGTGATGTTGTCATCACTGTCAAAGATATCGTGTAGGGAAAATATTCATCAGGGTAGAGGTTTGACCGTCTAACTCTAGGCTTTTCTGCTTCTCCTCTCTTGGGTAGTCCCAAGGTATGTCCTCATACAAGCCCAGTGTTCGAGCAAGCTTCTGTGCCAGTGTTTTGAATTGAATGAATGATTGTCTTCTATCATGAAATAAGGAGGGTGGGAAGAAGCATTGGAGCATCAAAACTTCTTCTCTTTGATTCGCTCTATCACGTTCAGCAGGTTCAAGGTCAGCTGCCGCCATTAATGATTCCTGTATTCCCTCCTGATCAACGGACACTGGCTGCAGCTGCCCAGCAAGGATTCCTTCTTCCTCCAGGCTTCAGCTATAAGGCTGGATGTAGTAAGTACCATTGATTTTTCATTTGGGAGTGGGTGGAGGGCACAGCTTTAAATTAGGCCGTTTAATATTACTGCCACACCAAGAAATGAGATCACCCATATAGCATTTTCATTTTGAAGAGGAAACACACAGAAGATGTGGGAAAGTGGTTTGTGTTGGTCTTTAAAAGACCTTAGACTATTTCTATGCGTCTGAAGCCAATGTTTGCTCTTTGTAATTCAGTTTCATAACATCCTTTTCTAGTGTATTCTTAAAATATGAATGTAATTTGGGGGTTCATTTTATTTTTGCATAGATGACATAGGAATATGTCAATAGTTTTCCATTTTCCATTTTCAATAGTTTTCCATTGCCCAGTAAGATAAATCCAAATTTCCTAATGTGAATTAGTTGGCCTTCTGTTATTTGTCTCCTCCGTATATTTATAGCCTAATTTCTCACTAGTCTTTTTTGTTCTTAGACTAAAAAATTCTCTTTCTTGACTATGGACCAAGATTCACTCTCCTTGGTATTGTGAATCTCTTCCACCTCAGATTGGGGAGCACTTGCCTGACCTAGGTTAGGTTCCTTTCTCCTGCTTTCCTTGGATTCTGAATATTTTCTTGTTCACCATTAATTGTAAGCTTTGTGAGGGCAGTTGCTGAGTCTATCCTATCATTGTTACATCTCAACTTTTAGTAGAACGTTCAACATTTTTGAATGAATGAATGAATACTCAATACAATCAGTGTAAAGGACATGTTTTGCACTAAGTGATAAGTTACACCTAGATAACTGTTTATATTGCTTATTAACTTCAGACAATTCTGATTTTATGCCTTTTTCTCTTTTATACCCAAATCTAAGTTGCACATTGTTAGTTTTGGAAACAAAACGAGTAGTTTATTGTTAAAAATTTAAATGGTCAAAATGCCAGCTGTATTCTCTGAGGTAAAAATAGTAATTCATATTCCAAAGAGGGGCTAGACTACTAAACTAAGTATCTTCTGGAACATTACCAGAAGCAGTATAGAAAAAGAAAGTTTATTGAAATATTTTCATTGATAAAAGTAGAACACTATTGAAAAAAATAGTGAAATATTATTTTAGATATCCATATAAAATATCTTTAAATTCCAGTGGATTCTGGCTCATATATATTTTAATAAATAGTCCCATTAACATCTTGATATGCTTTAGTATTTATTGCATTTGAAATACTCTAACATTACTAGAAATAAGTTCTTAGTTTCCCAACAGGTGATGTCTTGAATTTTCACATGGGGAATTTTAGCATTTATTCTTAGACTTTAAGTCTCTATATCATATTGAAGAAATGGACTATAATTTCTTAAATATAGCCATTTGAGATGAGTAGCTTGCAACTCTGGGGATGAGATAAAAGTGATATGACCTCAGGACTATAAGAATTCATACTTATATGTACTTGGTCTTTGAAATTTTTATATTGCTTTCGTAAATCTTTCTCTTGACTTTGGTGTCCTGTGTTCCTATGTGTTCTCACTCTGGACCCTTAATTTATTCATTCAGTATTATTTTCCTTGTCATTTTGACCTTTGTAGGTCATCAATTCATCCAGATACACCAACTCTTTTTTATAATTAAGGACTATATTTATTCTATATATTATAAATTCTAAGAATAGAATTTTAAATTCTATTGCTACACTAAATTCTGAGTTTTTAATCATAAAAGATTTTTTGTTTTGTTTCCATTTCCCTAAAGAATTACTTTTCACATTACTTTTTGCAATGTGTTTTTGGTAATCTTAGTAAAGTTACTAAAATAAAAAAAGGAGAGACTTTTAAAAACCATTGGTTGCCTCAGACTCTACTTGCAATATATACGTATAGACTAGTTCTGGTCTCCAAAAAAATAAAAAAGTTTTTTGCAGCAACTGCAGAAATAAGTCCTATTAGCAAATACTGTGCTGAAGAGAAAACCACATTGAGTATGAACAGCATAACTGTAGGCCTGGAAAAGGTCAAGAACACCTCTGCCTCACTCCTATTTGACAAAGTTGGCATACTAAATCTGTTCAGTGTTAATGCAATGTGGCATGGAGAAATCTTTCCCTTTCCAAAATTGTTAGTATATTAACCATTTCATATTCATGCCTTCAGTGCTTAAAGTTAAAAATAATACCACTTCTTTTGTAACCTTGAAAATAAAATAGAATAAAGCTTCTATAGCTGCTGGCAAGCTTGAAACTGACATCATGCCAAACACTGGAACTAAGCAGAAGCCAGTAGCAAAAGAAAGTGCCACCCTTGTTGACACTCTGGCACACTGAGTCAGTTTGAATGAAGAGCTGTGTGGAAGTGATAAATAGTCCAGACTATTTCTCCTTAATCACATTGCAGGAAAGGAATAGAGGGAGGAGAAGAAATCTTGCCAATTCCTCTCTTCAGTGGGACTTCTTATTTTCTTCCTCTTGTAATTGTCAATAATTTGTGACTTTTCTGGTTGTGAATTGTTTTGATTTAAGTGATATTACTTAGTTCTCAATGAAAGAGACTGACTAACTCATCTTGATTTTAATTTCAAGTAAACATGAAAGATACACTATTTGTTGCAAGAAAAAAAAAAAAACCCAGATGCTTTTCATCAATCCGTTCATAGAACATACTGATACAGTTTCCTGTTTAGTCTATATTTCTTGATAAAATACATGAAAAATAAAAAAACTCTCTGGAACTAAACCAGAAACTTTAAATGTTCATGAAAGGGGAAAAATAAAATAAAAATATCGGTTGAGGAGCCTAACCATTGTAGATTGAGTTAATATCTCCTGTTATCTGAGAAAGAAGCTTTTGATTGGACACAAAAATATTTTCTCTTTAAGAAATATAATGGTGGAAATATGGCATGGAATGGCGACACACAAAATGTAGTTGCTGGACCCCTGTTAAGTGCTAGAATGCACATCATTAAGCAGTACAAGAATAAATTCATAGCAGCATAGCCAGAGACTTCAGAGCAAACTGCCTAGATAGAAAGGGAGCTTTAGAGAATATTATAGTCTACTCTTATGCATAAATATGTAAATTAGTTAACAGATATTGGTATATTATTACCAGAATCTCAGATTCTGTTTTGGCATTTGGTATTAATGAAATCAAGCATGAAACCACACATCTTCCTGGATCCATATTTAGTTAGTGCTTTTTCTCCTTATTTCTTAAAATATACAAATCTTTGCAAACTTCTAAGGAGGTAAAAAAAATTGTATATTATTAAATTAAATCCTTCTGATACATATATATGATAAATAGAAAACTTGAAAATAACTATGTAAAAACACTGGTTTAATTAGCCACTTCATTCAGGCGTCAATTCATTCAGGAAAAAAAATAGTCCAGTAATCTCTATTTTTAACTTGTCAGGTATGCTAAAACTGTCTTCCAGGTTGCTATATGTAAACACACCCCAGATTTTATAACACATAATTAAAAATCCCAATTCTAAATTATATTTGTGGATAATAACTCATGTTAATCAAATAATAATCATGACAGCCTTTAAATAAGTTTGAGGAACTATGTAACTGTGGCTTAAATTCTAAATTGTAAAATAACTGAGTGTGCAAATGAATTGGTTCAAGAACACATTGGATGGTTGAAGAGTTAGGGACACAGTTCATTTGCCTCTGCTGGAAAGCCTGAGTCGTATCCTAACCTATTAATCAAAGATTTCAACATGTAAGCTGTGAAGTTTGTGTCAGGTACATATCTTTGAAATAAAATTTAAATGCCTTCAACACCTGCAGAACAACTTTACATTTTCAGGAAGATAGCGTTTTTGTGTTTGCTCATATTAGAAAAAAATTCTACTTATAAAGGAAAATAATTTTGAAGGTGCGATTGGTGTTAGCTCAGCAATTTAGATTTGAGAGAAACTTTTGAGATAAGGCTATTGAAGGGAGTAAGTTTGGTCAGTAGCACTTTGACTCCCACTCCAGTCCTGTTTCCACAACACACAGCCTCCTCAGGTTCACTGCTGTTCCCGCAGAGTGCATATTTTAGAGGCAGAAATGAGAGATGGAGGTGCTTCTCTTACTACTAATGACTGCAGTCCTCTGCCCCCTTCTTGCTGTTTGGGTGTAAAATTCCCAGTAATGTAATTGTAATAGTTAGATGCCTTAGAAATTTTGGCAGAAAGACATTTTATGTGGAAATTTAAAAATCTGCAGGAATGGCAAAATCCAATAAAATAACTATATATATATATATATATATATATAGTATAAAACAAACAGCTGTAAAAGAGCAGGCTTGATAGTTTACCCCAAAGTGTCAAATTGGATGTGTCATATACCGATAGGTACAGAGCCTTTTCCCATAGTCCAGCATGTGCCTAGTGCCATGGTTTTGAAACTGTGCAAGGTTCCCAGGATGCTTAGCTAATTCATAGAGGCACACAGGATATTTTTAAATTTCAAGGAAAATATAGAGGCATCTATCAGACACTATGTAAACTACCATATATAAGTTGTTTGGTCTTTACTTCTTAATAAAATTGAGTGATTGGATTTTTCTTTTGTCCAAAACATACAATGAAAAATTGATTGAACCACTGAGGGTGCCTTAAACCAAAACAGTTTGGGAACTTTTGGCCTACTCGAGTGTATATTCATTTTAAAAATTACTGTCATCTTTTCTAACCTGAAAGTTATTCTTGTCCTATCGTATTGCCAACCACAGAACAGAATATTATAACAAACTTTAATTTGTACTTATAGAGCTATATATAATATTATGAAGATAATTAATTCATGTGTCTATACCAGTTGATTTATTTGCCTATATGATTTCAAGCATTCAATTATTGTTTATTTTCTTTAATTTAATCAACTCAATTTCAAATAGGCAACTACAAATGGAGAGGTACTTAAAATGAGACAGCCTGGACTTGGAATCAGGTTTTGCCTCATTGTACTCTTTGTCCTTAAGCAAGCTACTGAGTTTCAGTTTCCTCATCTTCACAACAGATTAAGAAAA